CTGTCAGACAGCACTTGGATGTCTGCTGCAAAGATGATGAGCTGTAAGTACAATATTATTGTGTGATTAACATTGATGAAAATGAAATTTCCCTCAACATTAACACTACTTGTGTAAACATTGTAGTGATATGAATGAAGGAAGTGACTGCAAAGGCAAGTGGCAGACATTTTCAAGCATGTTCTTGTGACACCCAGGTGGATTTCAGATAACTTCACACAGGTTTACTATAAGAATAATGGTAAGTACTAGAACCGTGCACTATTACATTATGCATGCACTTGGGACGTTTTCATAACTCTTGGAGCTGTATTAGGTCTTGGCTAACTCTTCCGCTTCCACAGATATCTGTAGTATATGCTCTGCCTTTTACCATTTGTTTAATCTTAGCCTTTACAGTCACTTTCTTCATCCATATCACACACATACAGTATTGTGCAAAAGTAATGCAAACGGAATTCGACGAATTTCGTTATTTGTTCTAACGATCTTTCGTCGAAAGTTCGGGCGAAAATTCGATCGAAAGTTCGAGGCCTCTTAAGCGACATTTCGTTTGAACAAAGGGCGCTTTTTCGTTGAATTTTCGCCTCAAAGCGAAACTTCACGGCGGAAAGTATCTTTTCGATCATTAGTGTTCGAAATTTCGCTTCGAAGTGACAATAGACTTTCGCGAGTAATCAAGTTTGTTTACTACTCATGTAAGCAACACGAAATATACATATAAACGTATTTCCAGTCTTTTTCAGTCACTGGGACGGAGACACTTCATATTTGAGGCAGAGGCTAAACACAGTAGACAAAAGGTCAAAATATCGAAAAGCATCACGCCCGATTCTGGGCTCGATTTGTGTTTGACAACGAAAGTGAATCGGAAAAATTGTCCCAAGCGTCACATCAACTTCAGTTTCCTGACGTTTGAAGAGGCCTAAACCATCATATCCAATTCAGAGTTCGATCAGTTTACAACAATGAAAGTAAATCGGGATGAATAGCAATTCCGACCAAGAGACATGTATTTCATGGAAATAAACTCTCAAATGATTGCAATAGTTTTTAAAATTAACTTAAGTACAACGCTTTTTAACCAGACGGAGCAGAGAATGTCTTTAATGTGTTTTCAAACGTTTTCTATTGGGAAGAATGTTCCTTGTTTATTCGTTTTCGAACCCTGCGCAAATAGACATCACCCATATCGCTGATTGCAGCATGCTTTCCAGATATCACAACACCATGTTTGTTCGGAAATATTTATTCTTCACAACAAAACACTGAATACTAATTGGCGACGACTGAAAACAACAATTACTTTAGTCACATTGCTCTATTTTTTCGTAAATTCTGACACGATAAAAGGAACCAGCGTCGTCTCTAAAATGCTGCAAAACAAATCAGCGTCCATGATGCCATCAAAGATACAAATCTTCGTGGCACCACTTCTGCTAATCCCTCCCCTGACATGCACTTTGAGTGGGTGCTTAGGTTTCGGCTTTCGCTTTGTGGGCTCATTTGCCATTCTAAAGCAAGTGCGGCGATACTCCTAAAGGGAAATCGAACACTCGTCGCTAAAAATCACGTTGTTGAAAGTGTCACCACTTTCTAGGACGCGTTGTGCGAACTCTAATCGCTTGACTTTATTTGCGTCACGGATTAGCTGGCAGTAGGCGGTCCGCTGCAAAGTCCAACCTTGCTGTTTGCGTGCTCTACGAACAGTGGACGCACTCACGCAGATTCCATGTCTCTCCAGCTTCTTCTTTATCGTATTGCTGGTCGTCTCGTCATCCCTGCGCATTTGCTGATCTACGAAAGTTTTTGCTTCCGTAGACAGCTTTTGAGGTCTTCCTGATCGAGGTAAATTTGCCACGGAACCGGTAAGTCGCAACTTTTTAATGATGCGCGTAATACTGGAAAAACTCACTAGCAGCCCTTCGTGTTTCAACGCTTTCAGTATTTCAGCTGGGTTGAGGCCTTGCTTGTGAAGGATCTCGATTCTATTTCTGGAATAATTTGAAACTTTTGCCATGATTACTATCAAAAGTAGAGTACTTAAATGATCCCAAACGCATCGACACAACAACCTGTGTTGCCATGGTTGCAAACAATATAGGGCGCGCGGAGACTGGAATCGTAGCGGGAAATTTTATGGGAGTATTACATAGTGTAGTAACCAACCACAAATTCAACCAAATCTTTTTGAGAAGAATGAACAATACAACGAATTTTCGCCCCGAAAATTCGCCGCATAGAACGAATTTTCGCTCGAAATTTCGAGTCGCATTTACGCCATCAAGGAATTTGTCGCCGCAAGTTCGAGCCGTTCAAAACAATACATGCCTCGAAAATTCGCGGAAATGTCGTCGAAGTTTCGTTTCGGTCAAGAATTCGTCGAAAAGCCAGGAATTTCGCCGAATTTCGTCGACAGGTGTTTGCATTACTTTTGCACAATACTGTAGTAGTCAAGCTGATATCAGATTGTCGCTCATTCATATCACTACAATGTTTGCACAAGTAGTGTTAATGTTAAGGGAAATTTCATTTTCTCATTTAACTTGCCCGAAACTCGTTTCTGAGTTTCAGGCCGAACTGCATGTTACCTTGACGAAACACCATTATGAAACGCACGCTATGAAAATGACAAATCACAACAGCAAAACTGCTTGTCCCAATGTCGAAATTGAAGAATACTAGAATGCAATGGCAAAATAGCAAAGTATAATAACCGAACGCCAAGGTAGAGTGACAAATCGACACATTGCAAAAGCATAATGGTCAAATGTGATAACATTATGTCATAACACAAGAACCAAATAGCATATTAAGACGTCACACTGGAATAGCACAATTGCATATCTCAATGTCATAACTGAAATTGTGGATATCATAGTTAAACATTTATTTTTGACGGTTATTACACCCCATACATAATGCCGGCATATCGACTAAACTTCTCAAAAATTTCCTAGATATTACAATTCAACAAGAGATAAGTTCTGTAGCATGAGTAATGTCCTAACAGTGAGCCTTCATTTCTTGCTTGCAATTTAAAAAATTGATCCAGTAAAATGTTGTGTTCTGAACTTCAGTAAGCCTTTTATTCCCACAAAGGTTTATGTGTTCGTGTTAGGAATAGGAGAGGGAGTTTTGGGGGCTCTTAAAAGCTATTAAATTGAACATAACATTTTTTTTTTTTATAACGAAAAATTCTTAGCAAAATTTTCAGCAAAATGCCATGTTTCAGCAGTAACGCTCAAAAGCAGAATGCTTAAATTTTTACAGCATAATTTATTCGACCCCAGCCCCTATCGAACGAAATCGACTTTCGTCTAGCTGTTTGTTAAGTTTCTTAAATATTTTTCGCATGCTTTATCTGAGAGGAAGTTCCACACTTGCTGGAGCCATTCTTCTATTGCCAATTGCGTTTCCCATGATGCTTCGTTTTGGCTTAATGAAAACAGTGTCATGAAATTGTACGACGAAGGACGCGTTTATATTCCCCTTTACTTGTTTCTAACGCGTGTCGCACAAAAACCACTCACTGCTCCACCGCACACACACAAGGCTTTGTTCCGACTGGATTGTTTACATCATGTAGCCAATAAAGCATTTTGTTTTGATGAGCTATTATCCTCCTCATCAGTTAACACTGACATTTGTGTGATCAATGATTTATTGCATTTTACGCCCTCAAGCTAAAGGGAAAAACCTTCAGCTCTACACAAAAGTATAAATGAAAATTGGATACCATTCTCACACACTTTTGTCAACTGGTGTTGGGTAGAGCCTGGAGAACGTTTGCTCTTTTAAATCATGGAAAATAACAAGTCGAAAATGACATTGGTAAGCAAATCTTTTCGTCACAAATAATATGTCAGAGCATGATATTTTGGTACTATTTTTATCATTTCAAGATAGCGGATTGCATGCCACCGACGGTTATTCTGGTTTTTGTCGGCTTTAGACAGAGGTCACAGGAATATATTGGCGTCTTGAAATGTACACATTCTCTAACAATAGTGAAAATTTATATGAAGCTTCATTAGGACTAGGTATTGACCATTCCTCGGACTTCTGTATAGATATATATATATATATATATATACATATATATCTATATATAGCCATAACAAACAACTTTTTCAAAACTTAAATTTATTTACGGTCAGTTCCGAATGAATCCTAGCTCTAATGTTCATAGCAAAACCTTGGAAATGTTGAAAATCGTAGCGTGACATATTTTCCACAGTATTTGGGACGTGTTTGAGTGACCCAAGCGAATCCGCCATAAAAAGGCTGAGATGTCAGGCACCCCTTCTCTGTAATCAACTCGCCTGGAGTGATATATCACGTAATCCTCGACAAATCAGAGCGCGAGAAATAATGGCGATAGGAATGAGTGCAGTTAAATTCGTTTTGTAATCAAGAGTATGATCACAGACAGAATTGGACGACACACAGTCCTGTTACCAATTAATCATAACCATTACAATTTTCGAAAAAAAAAATACATCTAAAATAAATATCTCTGATAGAGACAGTGCTTTAAGTTAAAGATCTCTCCATTTTAGACATTCCCCAGTTTTTCCTTGGATAAGAAGTTGTTGTTATGGGTATTGTGATCAATTCTGTGATTGGTGGACTGAGTGGACTTAGTTTCAACTGTTGACTACTTCAACTGTGCGATTACAGGTGTCCGATTACGGCCAGGTGTCCGATTACAGCCAGCTGTCCGATTACACCGTTGGATTATAACTGTACAGAATGATTAGTGAAAAATAAAGCTGCTAATGCACCAATCACATTTGAGGAAATTGTATTGATTGTCATGATCGCTATAATCACCTGAGTAATTTTTAGAAGCTAAAAAAATTTGAATTTTATTTTGGTCTGAACGAAATGACTTATCCCGTGAGCATTTGAAGGACCAACGTAGATGACTCCTGTGTGCTCCTGAAAAATAAATGCTCGAGCTTAAAGAAAAAATAAAAGTCGATTGTCCTAGAAGTTTAGGCAGCAGCTAGTGCAATTGTTGAACCGAGAGATAACAATGGGCCGCATACACGAGAAACAGTGGAAGTGATTCCAATCCAAATAGACCGCAACCTGGGCCTACGAACGCATTTATCAGCGATGTTGTTAATACTGTCTTCGGAGAAATAATATTCCCAGTCGCCTTTTCCAGCCTTGACAGTAAATTCCATCCCTGATTGTGCGAAGATGAACAGAGCACTTCTCAGGTCGGCTCCATCTTGGTAAGAAATCGATGGCTGCTTTTAAAAATTTTATTTTTGTTCGGTCTTGTTCACTGAGGCGTCTTCTATCTTCCACTTTTCTAACCTCAGCTCTCAGAACAGGAGATGTGATTTTGTTAACAACTATTTTGGCATTTCTTGGATAATCCTGAAATCAGGAAGTAAGACGCAGTTTTTTTGTAATTTCTTTATTTTTTGGCATTCTACAAAACATTACTCTACTTACAATACACTACAGGACTCGGTTACAATACGTCACTTACAATAATTTATTGAGAACACACTACTAACAAAGTATAATTTACAATCAACTTGATTACAGTAGATGACTTACTTTAGATTACTTCCACTACCTACACAATACTCTACATTCACATTATTTTACGACATATTACACTACTTTCAATGTGTTACTGTAAATTACTTACAGTATCATACTAGTAGTATATAGCAAAATAGTATGCTTTACAATAAAGTTTGACTTCCTATGCTACTCTGCATTGTTTGAACGACACCCATCCCACAAACCAATATGTGGCAAAAGCTTATCCCATTTCTGAAACTGTTTAGCTAATTTATTCCGCTTTGCTGCCATCTTCATTCCTACCTGGTATATTTTCCCGATCTTGGCCTTATAAACTCGTACGGAGGGATTCTTAGAATTCAATTTACACGTGTATATATAAAATTTAGCTGTCAGTATTAGATGATTTAGAATAATAAAGTCCTCTTCCGCATCGAAAACTCCAAAAAATATATCCATTATTGTAAATGTTTGAGAGTTAACTAGACATTCACCAAGCCAAGAACAGAAAGCTTCCCAGAAAGCCTTTGTAACATTGCAATAGAAAAATATATGTTCGAAGGATTCAACCTCTTGTTTACAAAAAGTACATAAAGGCAAATCCGACAATCCCTACCTAAACAATCTTTCGTTTGTAAGTTCTATATTATTTAATACTTTATATTGGAATTCTCTAATTTCAGTTTCAATTGTGACGGTAAAAGGCAAGGAGTATTTTTTATTCCAGTCAAACTGAAACTGTGGAAATTTTTCCTTAAATTTTTTTTGCGCAGTTGGAGGGATTTGCTTTTTGCTTTTAAACGCGTTATGAAGCGATTTGGGTGTGACTTTTGCTAACATTACCTCAGAATCTCCCAACTTCAAATAAATTATGTCATCTGTATGAGAAAGGAGATGTTGAGCGCTTTGTCTAATAATACGCGTCCACGACGCTCATTAACTTAAAATGTTGTCAGTATCGGAGATAAATTTGTATGTAACACCTTAACACCCTTTAAGAAGATTCCAGTGTCAGAAATGAGATTACCGATCGTAACAATTCCTTTAGAAAGCAAGTGTTTTTCGAAAAGTGAGAGCTTTTGGACAGTGATATTTTTATCGTTCCATATAACCTGGTGAACTACATCTTCATACGAAAGTATGGAAGGTTGCCTTAACATGGACCAAGCGTCCAGGCACTCCTTATAAAAGGCCGGAAGGTAGATAGGTAACTGTCTGGTATCAAAATGACACTTAAGAATAAATTCTCCCCCTACCTGAGAAAGGAAGTAATTCAATGTTATTTTCCAAGAGCTGTTATTATCTTTATTTGTAAATCTTTTTAATACCATCACCCTCTGTGCGAGGATCATCGACTGAATATCCAACACATGCAAAATCGTTTCCACATATTTATTGTATCTTTGATAGACTTTAAAACTGCTTCAAAGTTCGCTTTCATCCTCGATGAGACGATATAGTCAAAAACGATCCCCAGAGTTTTAACTGAAGTTCGTACTTTATGAGCATAATTTCTTTGATCAAGACGATGGCTACCAATTGCAAAAATTTCAGTCTCATCTTTATTGACTTGGAGTTTGGAGAATCTAGAAAACGACTTCAGAGTCGCCACTAAACGGTGATATGACGTAGTATTCTAAGGAAACGAGTCATGTCATCGGCAAAAAGGGTTAATTTGATTTCTTCCTCCTTAGCTGATCCATCACACGTTTATGTTTATTGCTATATTTTGTGACATTTTGTTAAACAGAAATGCTAGGCTATGATAAATTTTCGCTCTTTGTAATCTAAGAACCTACCAACACATTTTAACCAAACTTTTGGTGGACTCATCTGACTCGTGATTTAGAACTCCTGTAAGAGAGTCTCGATAGTAGTACCTTTATGACATTAAAATATTTAAATGTTGCCTCCATAACATAAAAAAATCCAATTTTAGGCGGTTGAACATCTCAACATTTTCGGGGGAATCACGTGGTTTTCGGAGGGAGTGGAGGGGGAGGGGGGAGGGGGGGAGGGTCTTCGCTGACAGAGGATAAAGGGAGGACCAAAGAAAATTGACTGCTGATTAAGGGGGGATCATAAGATAACTACGGAACCTTAGTGGGGAGGGGGGGGGGATAGGGGGAATCAAGTAAATTGTATTGTGACACAAACAAAATCCGCCTTACCCCCTTCCCCCCCGGCAATAACAACGACGGTTCCCCAAAGATTAAAAATTCGCACATTTCATAAACCACATAAGAAAAAAATGGGTAGATTACACTTAAACCCATCCAGACCCTCGAATACATCTAAACGATGTGATTGTACTAACGACTTTATATAAAAATTGATGAGACGAAGTGATAAAAGCTCGATGCCATTGACTCTTCTCGTTTTAAGTGCACTTTTCATGCTAAAATCGTTTATTACTCTCAAAACATAGATTCATAAAAATTGCAGAATGGTTACTAGCAAATATTCTGCATCGTTTTCTCTTTGAGGCAAATGAATGAACTTGTTTGAGACGAGTCTCCTAAAAGATATCACATTTTCATTCATTTGTTTAGGATTATCCTAAATAAAAAGTGAGGTGTGGTCTAAGGGTTGATATGAGCTACGAAAGAATTTAAGGTTTTTCAGTTGAAAAGGGAATTACGGTAAACCTATCATTTGTTTTGTAAGTCGTATTTTCCTGTCAAGGTCAATGGCTACTGTTCTTTTGACAAGCCAAAAGTTATAGTGTAGAAAATGAAAAACTAAAACGATCCGCCATATTGGATAACATCTACGGCCCCTGGTAGCGTCGTTTGCATATCTGTCCAATAATATTAACATCATAGCCGTAGACGACATAACAAGCTATCTATATAAGGTAAAAACCTTTCAAAATACCGCAACGTAACTCTGAAGGAGGGAAGGGTTCTAACCACCCCTCCCCTGTAGAAAAAGTTGGGGCGTGAGTTAATTTTTATGTACGTCCAAGGGTTACAGTTATTCATCTGCAGAATGTTATCGCTAATCGTTATGGACTACTCTTTTTTTTTTATCATATATATGTATTCTCATTTTTCTGTTCTATTTAAATGTTACTACCTTTGAAAGAAAGTGGTACCAATGCTGGGTAATTGGAATTCACCTCTTCCAGCCTTAACGACAAACTCTTTCCCTGCCTGAGCGAAGAGAAACACAGCATTTGTGAGATCGGCTCCATCATCCAGCGCCATTGGCAGGAAATGAATGGCAGCTTTTAAGAACTTTATGGTAGTTTCATCGTGGCCATCGGGATAACTTTTATCTTCTATTTTTCTGACCTCAGCTCCAAGAGCAAGGGCTGTGATTTTGTACACAGTAACTCTGTAACTTCTTGAAAAATCCTGAAATCAGATACCCAAGACTCAAGTGAATATGAGAATTAACCTTGGGAATATATCGTATAGGTACAAAGCTTCTATCAGAAAATGCAAGTTTTATTCATTCGTTTTAAAATTAGCTAGCTGTTGTTGTTGTTGTTGTTGTTGTTTTTTGGTATTTTTGAAGTCCTATAAACAAGTTCCGAAGTTTGCATTTGTGAGAGTAACACTGTCTGGAAAATCTTAACTTGTGTATCACTGAATCGGTCGTTTCGCTTGTATTCGGATGTATGCTGAGTGTAACCAAATTATGAGAGAATTATAAACAACAGCATTGAAAATACAGGTATGGACTCCCGCTATGTAGAAATTCAGCCTGTGAACTTCCATAATTTCGTAGAAGTGGAAATAGCAAGCTTAAGTAATTGTTAAATTAAATTGAGCCTTTTTATCAAGTGCTTGTTATAACTCTTTTTTCTGTGTCGTTTATGTACAAAAAATGTGGCTCGCCGGTTGACTGATTCAGATTTATTCTCCTTCCGATTGCTTTACGCCTTACAGAAGCTAATGTCTTCGGTGGTAACCGTAGCAAAAAAAAAGAACGCAACTCGCTAAAATGAAGGACTTTGCACTGCAGACTCTTAGAGCCCCACTCTACGTTAATTTTCTCCCAACGGTTCAGCAGTTTCTGTAATTGACGATCACTACATCATTTTAGTATCTAACTTGCCTCTACTTTAATCACACTTTGATTCCTAAATCGAAATGAAACGGTAAATACAGATATTAAATTCCGGCTGGTGTTTGATCAATAATGACGAGATTATTTTGGGCTTATTGTTAGAGCATCGTGCATGATGCCGGCATATCGACTAAACTTCTCCAAATTTCTCTTGATATTACAGTGAGTAATGTCCGAACAGTAAGCCCTCTTTTCTTACTTCCAATTTAAGAATTTGATCTGGAAAAATTTGTGTTCTGACTTCAGTAAGCCTTTTATTCCCAAAGAGGTTTACCTGTTTGCGGTAGGAAGAGGAGATGGAGTTTTGGAGGCTCTTAAAAGCCTATAAACTGAACGTAATGAAAGATTCTGAGCATAGTTTTCGGCAAAATGCCATGTTTTCAGCGGTGACGCTCGAAAGCATAATGCTTAAATTTTCCAGCATAATTTATTTGACCTTAGCCCCTATCGAAGTAAATTGACTTTCGTCTGACTATTTGTTAAGTTTCTTAAATTTGTTTAGCATGCTCTATCTGAAAGGAAGTTCCATACTTACAGGATACATTCTTCTATTGCTAGTTACGTTTCCCATGATGCGAAGTTTTGGCTTAATGAAAACAGTGTCTTGAAATTGTGGGACAAAAGATGTGTTTATATTCCCCTTTCCTTATTTCAAAGGCGTTTCGCACAAAAACTATTCACAGCTGCAGCGCACAAATAAAAAGGCTTTGCACGGTGTGTAAACCTGGGCTGTCGACTATCCTTCTCGGATTCCATGGGTTTTACCCCTGGCACTGTTCCGACTGGTTTGTTTCCATCTTATAGCCAATGAAACATCTTGTTAGCCTTTCTTTCGCTTTTGAATTCTATAGGTTTTTCCTCTAGCTTTCTTCCGACTGGATTGTTTACATCATGCAGCTACTGAAGCCTTTTGTTTTGATGGCTATCCCTCTATCTCTCGCTATCCATCTAAATGGAAAAACCCCCAGCTCTACACGAAAGTGAAAGTGAAAATTGGATACGCTTCTCACACACTTTTATCGACTGCTGTTGGGTAGTGCCTTGAGAACGTTCGCCCTTTGAAATCATGGGAAATAACAAGTCGAGAATGACATCGGTAAGCAAATTTTTACGTCGCAAATAGTATTTCAGAGCATGATATTTTGGTGCTATTTTGATCATTTCAAAGTAGCAGATTGCATGCCACCGACGGTTATTTTGGTTCTTGTCGGCTTTAGACAGAGGTCACAGCAATTTATTTGCGCCTTGGAATTTATACATTCTCTGACAATGGTGAACTAGGGATTGACAATTCCTCGGGTCCCTATAAATATTTAGCCACAACATACGATTTTTGCAAAACTTAAACTTATGACAGTCAGTTCCGAATGAATCTAAGCTCTAATGTTTACAGCCAAACCTTAGAGACATAGCGTGACATATTTTCTTCAGTGTTTGGGTCGCGGTTGAGTGATCCAAGCGAATCCGCTATAAAATGTCTAAGATGAAGACCAGAAAAAGGTTTAAAACGCATTAAGTCCATCCTTTTATTTTTGTTAGGTCGCGTTTACTGCGGCATCCTTTATCTTCCACTTTTCTAACCTCAACTCCCAGAACAGGAGATGTGATTTTGTTAACAACTATTGTGACTTCTCTTGGATAATCCTGAAATCAGGAAGTAAGACCCGGTTGAAAATGAGCATTCATCATTAAAATATGTCGAATAGCAGCCACACTGTTTAGAAATGCCATATTTTTTAGTCTTTCCCTATTTGCCTATCTTGCCTAAACTTTTCCTCTTCGTTCATTCAACTGCATCTAATACTGCGCTGATGTTAGAATCAACTCTAGGCGTATAGTTGCCCTAAATTAAATGCGACATTGAGCGGTCAATAACATTCACGCAAGGTACTACCTTAAGAAATTCAAGAAAGTTTGGAATTTTTACAAGTGCTCGCTTCCTTTTGATTCGCATTCTCCCCAATCACCGTCCACCCTCAAAAAACTATCCAAGTTCCCCTTTAAATGAACCAGAAAGAGGCGAAGAACAACATAGGGAACCTTGATCGATAGAATCTCAGTGCCCCTCTTTAATAAGCGTGTCTAACTCAGCACCACTCCTAATGACGTAAACTTTATGTAATCGGTCAAAATGAAAAATGGTGCATTTAACTTAGCGCTACTGTCAACACAACTTGATTTCTAGATCGGAGCGAAAACTGAAAAACGTAGTATATTCTAATCCAGACCGAAGCAAATTTCTTTCGTCTCACTGGGAGCTGCTCGCTTTAGTTTAACTTGCTTGGCAACTTTCACAAAAAAATTTAATACTTACTAGAGCCATCCTCTTATTTCCAAGTGCGTTACCCATGATGCGTCTTCGTAGCTTGGGGAGAAGAAATTGTTGAGGTTGTTACTACGACATTTCCCTGTTTCAATGGCGCTTTGCAGACAGTTTCGACAGTTCCACCGCATGTAGAGAGGGTGTTGTACTGGGTAAAAGTCTCATCTGTCAGTCCACTCTTTATCTGGCTTTCGAATTGCAAGGGTTTTTCCCTCGCATTTTTGCAATTGAGCTCACTTGCATTTTGTAGCCAATGAAACATTAATTTTAGGCAATGCTCGTGCTTTCGATTTTCATGGGTTTTTTTACCGAGCTTTGTTCCAACGTAATTTGGATTTTTCTCGCTTTCAAAATTCCGAGACAGTGTTTACTGTGTGGGCGACCTATGTACTCAGCTTTCTTTTTAATGATCAAGGGGTTTTTCCCTTGTTTTTTCGATGTTATGTTTCCCATTTCTCAGCCAATGAAAAATTTTGTTTTTATGACCAATTGTCCATCGTCACCTAGCAACCCTGACATCTGTTTGATCAAGGATTATATTTCACGCATTTAGCTAAAGGGAAAAAGCCCTCAGATAAACCGGTGAAAGTGAAAATGAAAAGGGAAGCCTCCTTCAAACGGTTACATCATCTCGTGTCGGACAAAACTGAGAAATTACCTAGAGAACGTTCGCTCCTTGGGTCAACCAATCATACTCACAAACCATGGGAAATAACAAGTCGAGAATGACATCGGTAAGGAAATGTTTAGTTTCGAAATAGTACGTTAAAGTATGAAAGTTTGGTCTTGATTTGAGAATTTCGTGATTGATTACAAGCAGGCAACGGCTTTCTCTTGGTTCTCGGGGGCTTTAGACAGAGGTCACAGAAATTAATTTGCATCATGTGTTTTGTACATTGAAGAAATCTTTTACTAAGAATTGACAATTCCTCGGGCTCTTATATACCTAGCTATAGCAAAAGATTTTTGAAAAAACTAGATATATTTATAGTCTGTTCAAATTGTAACTTAGCTCCAGTCAGTCATAGTCAAACCTTGAAAATGACAGTAGTAGTAGCCTGACATATTTTCTTTACTATTTGGGTCGCTGTCGAGTAATCCAAGCGAATCCGCAATAGGATGAAGACAGGAAATCTTGTGGACCCTGCACAAACCGTCGACTTGATAGCAAAGAATCATATGATCGAAAGAAGATTTAGAAAATTTTGAAATACCTCGTGATTGCTAACTAGCTCTTATAAAATTTTTTAAGATGGAGATTAAAAAATTAATTAGTTGTGATTGCGAAGGTGTTGACAATACGCCGCTCAATCTGAAGGCACACTGCACTGAGATGATTGCAGCCAAGCCAAATTGAAATATCATCTCCAAATGATAAACGGAGGAAGCAAACTGGCTAAAATATATCCTGCTAGTATAGTTTTTAGGTGAAAACTGCCAATTTTTGATTGCAGAGGGCCTGAAAATGGGTGTAGAAAATGGTGTTTTGAAATACGTATTACATCGTGACTGATATCCACAACAGACTTGGGGTTGGGGAGGTTTTCCTTGGAATTCGAGGTAAGGTCATACCGCCCAGTTCTTAAATACTGACCCTAAGGATGATGACAATGATGATAGCGATATAGTGCTTCCTTTTGGATCACATACAATGATATTCCATTTACTTTGCTTTTAAGGATTACCCAAGTAACATGATCTTCCACGTTAAGAAGATTTCGTCGACGTTCCTTGGAAGAGAGATCACCAAACGATGTGGAAACGAAGGACAGCATAACGATCTCGAGGAAAAGGACAAAACAACCTTGAAATTTTTGCAAGCTGCCATCTCGTATATCTCAGTGGCAACCAACATGGGAGCAGATCTTTCAAATGCTGCATTCATTTTTTCACAACCAGGAAAAGAGTTTGTTATTCAGGCTGGAAATGGTGACTGGGAGTTCTTTTTTTCAGAAGATCTAAAAAACATAATTCATGGCCACTGTGTTCGTAAGGCTTCCCGAGGTTTCTGGAAGAGCTGCTCTTCCAGAAACAGAACAGCCAATCGAGACAGTAGAGCAGCACCAGAACGAATAAATGGTTTGCTGGCCCTGCCGTCTGCTGCCTAGAAAAATCTCTTTCCTGCCACATCTCGACGGAGAAATAGATGAAAATAAGGAAATAGACAGATTTTGTTACCAGTTTGATACTATGGGTGACAAATAACTCCATAATCTATCAGATAATTTGAGTTTGTTACGTATCAAAATTTATTTGATTTTATCCCGTTGTGAGACATATATCCATAGCCTTTGGCTGGTAATCTTTCGCCTTTCCCATGAAAGGTGTATTAATTTGATTCACAAGTAATACCTTGCCAAGTCAACAAAATTTGAGAGTAGACTTAATTAAACTTAACATATTTGATAGAGAGCAAATGACCAAGGCAATAAATGGCTTTTTACCGATAAATCAAGAAGTTTAAAACTTTTCTTTAAACGTGTATCTATCTATTCGATTCTGGGAGCACTCTGACTCTTCAAGATAATAAACAATTTTCCAGTCCAAAACCTAACGGCCAGAAGTCTTACTCGTCACCTGTGATATTCATATGTAATCCAGTAATATGCTCGTTAAATTAGGGAATAATTTGACGCGGGTGCGTCCAAATTCGTAAAACTTCTTTCGCCATGATGCGTAGTTTCACCAAACACTCCACCACCGTTTGATTAATATGTGCACCTTTTTTTTTCTGAGTCTCTATCACAGTTACTTTGCGTTTCTTGATATACCAAAGTTAAAATCAAAAACACAGTGTCAAAAGAACAGAAGGTAACAAAGGATAGGAAATCAACTAAAACGATTTTTTGTTTTGAATTCCATACAATTCTTATGAAGCTAACTCCGAGAATTTGGTATTGAATAAACTAATATATATTTTTCCTCATCATTCTACTGTTTGATATTGCATTAATTTAGTAAGGAGAAATTCTGTCTTTGTCACTCATAAGAGTTAAAGGGTTAAGTAAGAAAAATATTAGAACCATGCATCATTGCATACAGGGATTTTCTCCAAATTTATTGCAATGAATAATCAAATAAAGTGGAATAAACAATATAAAAATATGTTTACGTTCCTCCTTTTTGCTAGAAGACTTTCTTCATTTTTATTTCGACTTTATCAACAGTCTCGTAGTTGGGTGTCTGGATAACTTTTTTAGTTGTCCATTGTTTAACCCTCTGTAAAGATACAATGACGGCGGAAACTAGCTTCTGAGAGGACCCACACAATCAGGAGACACCAAGACTCTGAGTTCTCCTCTTCTGTATTACATTTTCTATAGCTAACCCAATTGTCTCTCTTTTACTCGCTCTAATGCACGCTCTTAAGTACCCTAATAGTAGGCATGTCATCACAACACTCTCTTTTTCCATAGAGGCCTTTTCAAAGCGAGGTCTCGTCCAAAATCTCCCTGTATTTACTTAACAGCACTCAACAATTTAATCTACAAGAGCGGCTTTCAGAACATAGCAATCAAGCGGGAACTAAGAAGGCAACTTCCGTTCTGCATATCGCAAAGAAATTAACTAAACCGGTACCCTTGGCTAGAGTGTTTTGCGCTCTAAAATGCACGAACAAATGCGACAAAACACCGATATTTAGCTCTAAAGGATCACTCTTAAGCAGGCATTAAGGCCTTGAGGACTACTCCAGCAACAGACAATAACGAGGCGATACGAGAAAAACCAGATGTGACTTTGTTCCAGAAGTACATCAGCCAGGGTCTTCGGACACATTGACCTTTTATGTCGCCGATGTTGTCCTCGGAAAAGTAATACTCCCAGTCACCCTTTCCTGCGATAACAACAAACTGCCTGCCTGGATGGGTAAATATGAAAGCGACATTTTCAAAATCAGCTCCATCTTCTTTTGCCAGAGGTATGAAATGGATGGCCGCTTTTAGAAATTTGATACTTGCTCGGTCGTGTTCACTGAGACGTCCCTTGTTGCGTATTTTTTCGATCTCATCTCCAAGAGGAGTCGAGGTTATTTTCTTCACATGAATTCTAAGGTCTTCTGGATAGTCCTAAAATGATATTGATGTTATCAATATTGGGAGAAAGTTGACGAGAGCAAAAGAAAAAAAACCCGCAACTAAATCAATCCACATGTATCGAAAGAATCGGGAGTAGAACTCAGGCCACAACTACATGTGAGTAGGCAAGCGCTCCCACTCCCCTCAGCAAGGTTCTTAGAAACTCTCCTATCCCCCCCCCAAACCCTTAGAACGTTTCCGACGAATATTCAAGGTAGTGCGGATTGCGAATCGTATAAGTATGCTGGACTGGCTTGTAACGCAGCTCCGTGGTTCAGCCTTTAACTCCCATGAGTGACCAAGACAGAATTTCTCCTTGCTATATCCATACAGTATCATGCAGACAAGTGACGAGAATGAATCGAATGATTACAAATTGATTCCATACCAAATTCTCCAAACTAACATAATGAGAATCGTTTGGCATACAGTAAGGAAAATTACTAATGAGACCTTGGGAGTTAAAGGGTGAAGGCACCGTAAGAAGGTCTTATGTAAAAATTCTGAACTAATTCTCGAATTATTTTTTCAAGTTCCCAGCTACTTTTTCGTTTTTATATAAATCGCATTTTTTCCTATGGTAATCTGTCGACGGTTGCCGAACTCCCATTGGAAATCTCAACCAGTAACGAATTCAAGTTTAATCGAAGGATCTGGCATCGATCGCACGTGATGTTAAGTGCATGAACTTGGTAAAACGGAAAACTTCCCTTCACTTTCAGGAAGGTATTGACGACAGTTTAATATCGAAACTCGTATCGACCAAGTCACCTAAAGCTACCGAGGATTCATTGAGACGATGGGGCTTAGTTTAAATCTCTTTGGGCCTCTATAAATCAATCTCAGTTTCGAAAAGACGACGAGAATTTAACTTACGGAAGAGGATAAATCCAATTCGAAAGGGACAAATTTCTTTGAGTTTCATCAATATATTATTTAAAGTTTGATCTCTTGATCGAAGCCTAAGACAGAGTTATACTTACTGGTAATATTCTAGCGTTGCCAAAGAAATTTCCCATAGCCGTGTCCAGTTAACTCATGACAAATAGCTCGGCCAAATCCTTGCGAGAATCACGACTTTGTGATGAGAGAAGCTGTCCGTAGTTTATGGAGTCAAGTCAGACAACCTTAACACTACTGAGGCAGCTAGCGTGTTTGCCTCTTTTGTGGTTATCAGGGTTTTTCCCCATCATAATTGCTTTCAATTTTGATTGGCCATGGAAAATTTTGTTTTGATGACTTATTGTCATGTGGCATTCCTAACCACGCAAAGAAGACAAAAAATGTCAAAGTTCAGCGTAAGGGAAAATTCCCAGCATGTGATAAATTTATTTTGAAAAAAAAATCTGCTAATGAAATATTTTCGAGGCGTTTGGAAAGCGCATAACTTAAAATGAATTTCTGTCAGAATTCCTATGTAAAGTCTTCGGTGCAACTATCAAGAAACATAAGCAGGAGCCTTCCGGCGCCTGCATCTCTCGGGTTTTTTCCCTAATGCGGGTTCTCCAATGAAACAAAGGACAAAAGATGACTCATTGTCAGGGGGGTTTCCCTTCTATGCAAGGGACACATAGTATTCATCAATCCATATCGGGTTCTCCATTAGGGAAAATTCCCCACAACGAACGAGCGATAAATAAAGCGAACGACTTATTCGGCCCTATACTTAAAAACTACTCGGCCTTGTGCGGCAAGATTGGGAAATGTCTTCCACTAAATATTTAGTAAACCTGTTCCTTCCCTGAGCGAGCTGGAATAAAGTAAGACGATGGGAAGTAACAATTCAAGAATGACATTGGTGAGAAAATTTGCATCTTAGTCAGACTTAGAGGTTACAGAGTTACGATTGTATTGACTTCAAAGGCCGTGTTTTTCATATTTTTTCGGACTACAAGAGGACACATAGTTACTAACACATCGTTAGAGCAAGATTTATCACAACAGGACCTTTAAAAGCGAGATTACAGCATATAAACTGTGAAAATGTAAAGGCAAATTGTTAAAGTTACCGTCGCATATGAAATAATCTGACATTTTACTGATGAATAGCGAATCTACTGGTGAATCTAATATTTGGTTTAAATGTATTCGAGTAATCTCTGAAGACGGTTGCCAGTAAGGGAGGTAGGGGAAGAGAAACACATTTCTCTTTCGGAAAATTTCGATATTCAAAAACCTCAGAAATACGACTTCTGAAATTTTAAGGCAAACTGAGAGCGTTTTTTAATGTTTCATTATTTTTACAAAAAATATTCTATATTTCATCAAAATGACGCCAGTTTAGTTAAAGGAGTGATGATTATGTACTCACATAAAACACTGTATTTGAAAACCTTTGAAATATCATGCTGTATTTTAAATGTTATGTTTGAATTTTGTGTTTAAACAAAAATTACAACAAGAAACAATTTTCAGGGATGCTATCTCGCAGAATGCTGAGCCTTGCATCGAAATTCATTAGCTTTTTTTATTAAATGGTCATTAGTGTCAAGCCCGACATGCAAGCTTTCAGTGTCATGGCGGTTCGTACACATCTTCTTACGGGCCACAAACTACTGTTTTCTCGCAATTAGAGCAGTTCGTGGCAGTGTGTATCATTAAATAGCCATATAGTTCAATTAACGAGTCCGACGAACTTATGAGAAATGTTTATCCGTCTATGTATGCAGCTACTTACTTTAACAGTTCAAGAGAGCCCCAAAGCATTCTTTAAAGATGTAACTCCTCCGACAATTGAAAGTGTAGATGACAAGTACTCGGGGATTTTATAAAAAGTGAATTTGATCTCGTCTCAAACAGTACTAGAAAGGCTTGCGGTCACATCGACCGATTATGATCCTGACATAATCCTAAGGGTTGTAAAGCTGGGGGAAGATGGAGTCAGAGTTTCCTGAGAATCTTGCAAGCTACTAAAAGCATTTTTATTCGCTTTTTACATTCCAGGATTACCCAAGCAACATGATTGTTAGAGTTGATAAAATATCATCAACAGTTCTCGGAAAAGAGATCGTAAAGCGATGCGGAATCGAAGGACAGCATGGAAATCTCAATGAAGATGACCAGACAACCTTAAAATTTCTGCGTGCTGCCATCTCATTCATCTCGAACGCAAATGACAAGTGCGCTGATCTAACAAACGCTGCCTTCATTATATCGCAGCCAGGGAAAGAGTTTATCATTCAAGCTGGAAATGGAGATTGGGAGTTTTTCTTTTCAGAGGACGCAAAAGATGTTGTACATGGCCGCTGTGTTCGTGAGGGTCCCAAACAGTTTTCAAGCAGAAAAGACTGCAATTCCTATTTCAGAAACCTTTTCTCTTGGTGGTCACAGTCACCAAATACCGTCGTTCGTGGACCATTAGCCCTGACCTGTGAAGTTCAGGAACCCACGTCCAATGTTACACCTCCTAAGGTGACGGACGAAGAAACTTGTAAAACTTACTCAACTGATGCCTCAAGTCTTATGATTAGTGCCAACTAAAGACGTCCCCATTTACATTCAAAAGAGATATTTGCTTTAGATATTAAATAGAGGGGGGCATTGGGGTCTATTAGAACTCGCAAACCGTAGTAAAAAATCCTCCAAAACTGCAAAACTTCAAAAAATTGGTTATAAAACGTGAAATACCTCGTGATTGCTAATTAGCTATTAGGACAATTTTTGAAGATGAAGATTGAAAAATCAATCAGTTGTCATTGCGAAGGTGTTGGCAATGCGCCGCTCATCCTAAAGGCACAATCAGACGCATGTTTGAAGTTGGCCACAGCAAAGAGGTAATTGCAGCTATGCCAAATTGACATATCTCCAAATAATAAACGGAGGAAGCGAACTTACTAAATCTATCCTGCTAGCATAGTTTTGGGTCAAAATTTCTAATTTTTGATTGCAGAGGGCCTGAACACGGGTTTAGAAAATGATGATTTGAAATATGTATTATATCACTATTTTTCTGTGATTGAAATCCACAGCAGACTCGGGAGTAGGGGGGGGTGGGGGGAGGTGTTCCTCGGAATTTGAGGTAAGGTTATGCTGCCCGGTTCTTAAATACTGACCTTCAAGATGATGACAATGATGATAGCGATAAAATGCTTCCCTATAGATCGCCTACAATGACATTCCATTCATTTTTCTTTTTCAGGATAATCCAAGTACCAGGATCTCCTACGTTTAAGAGATTGGGTGGATGTTCCTCGGAAGAAAGATTATCAAACGATGTGGAAACGAAGGACAGCATAATGATCTCGAGGAAAAGCAAGCTACCATCTCGTACACCTCAGAGGCAACCAACATGGGAGCAGATCTTTCAAATGGTGAATTCATTTTTTTACAACCAGGAGGAGAGTTTTTCATTTAGGCTGGATTTCATTTAGGTTCTTTTTTTATAAGATCTAAAAAATGCAGTTCCCTGACAGTACGTCTGGCCCTGCTAATCGAAACGGTAGACCCAGAAAAGCACCAGAACGAATAAATGGTTTGCCGTCTGCCGCTTAGAAAAATCTCTGTCCTGCTACATCTCGACGGAGAAAAAGATGAAAATCAAGAAATAGGAAGATTCTGTTACTAGCTTGATACTATGGGTGACAAATAACTCCATAATCTATCAGACAATTTGAGTTTGTTATATGTCAAGATTTATTAAATTTAATACCGTTGTCAGGAACATATCCATACCTATCTAGCCATATCTAGCCTTTGGCTAGTAATCCTTCGCCTTTCCCATGAAAGGTGTATTCATTTTATTCACAATTAATGCCCTTTTAGCAGTCTAAAGCTTTCCTTTAAACTTGTATCTATCTTTTCGATTCGAGGAGTACTCTGACTCTTCAACATAATAATAAACAACTTTCCAGTCCAAAACCTTACGGCCAGAAGTCTTACTCTTCACCTGTGATATTGATATGTCATCTAATAATATGCGTGTTAAGTTAGGGAATAATTTAACTGAATTTCTATCATAGTAACTTTGCGTTTCCTGTTATACCAAAAATAAAATTAAAAAAAAAGTCAAAAGAACAGAATAGGTAACAAAGGCTATGAGATCAACTGAAACAATTTTTTGTTTGGAATTCCTCAGTACTTCAGTGTTTCCATCTCCTTGCTGTCTGCCATACAATTCTTATGATGTTAGCGCTGAGAATTTGGTATTGGATCAACTAATAATCTCCTAGCTGATACATTTCTTTTCTCATCACTCTACTGTTTGATATTGCATTGATTTGTTAAGGAGAAATTCTCTCTTGGTCACTCATGGGAGTTAAAGGGTTAAGTAAGAAAAATGTTAGAACCATACATCATTGAATGCAGGGATTTTCTATACATTTCTCGCGATGAATAATCAAATAAATTAGCGTAAACAATGTAAAAATATGTTTACGTCTCACTTTTTTGTTTCAAAACTTTCTTCATTTTTATTTCGACTTTGGCAACATTCTCGTAGTTGGGTGTCTGAGTAACTTCGTCAGTTGTCCATTGTATAACCTTCTGTAAAGATGCAATGACAGGGAAAACTAGCTTTTGAGAAGACCCACATAAGCAAGAGGCACCAATACTCTTAGTTCTCTTCTACTTTATTTTACTTTCTATGCCTAACTAACTTGTCTCTCTTTTACTCGCTCTAGTGCACGCTCTTAAGTACCCTATTGGTGGGAGTGTGGGTAATGAGCTGACTGTCTTTGCAGAGTTAAATCTCTTGTTCAAACCGGTCAAATGTATTTTTTATACAAGTCCACTAAGGATATCCAAACATGACCACCGACGAACGCCATTTTTCGAGAAACAAGTCTCAAAAATAGTCAGCACAAACTATTTTTAACGAAAAAATTTCGCGTTCAACCTTCCGGATTTCTGAATCTGATAAGACTCACAACGATTGGAATTTTTGAAAACTCAAAATAAAGTCAAGTACTCAACACGACCAGTCCAGAAACAAAATTTCATGTTCGAGTAATTGCACAACTAGAGGAGAAAGACAACACGGAAAACTATCCCAAAGGGGTAAGACTAACACAATCTTTGAATGTTAACCTTTGAATAACCTTGAATCGTAACAACACTTCACAACACTCTCTTTTTCCATTGAGGCCTTTTCAAAGCGAGGTCGCGTCCAAAATCTCCCTGCATTTACTTATCAGTACTTAACAATTTAATCTACAAGAGCGGCTTTCAGAACAAAGCAATCCGGCGGGAACTAAGAAGGCAACTTCCGTTCTGTGTATCGCAAAGAAATTAACTAAACCGGTACCCTTAGCTAGAATGTTTTGCGCTCTAAAATGCACGACCAAATGAGACAAAACACCGATATTTAGTTCTAAAGGATCACTCTTGAGCAGGCATTAAGGCCTTGAGGGCTAGTCCAGCAACAGACAACAACGTGGCGATACGAGAAAAACTAGATGTGACTTTGTTCCAGAGGTACATCAGCCAGGGTCTGCGGACACATCGACCGGTTATGTCGCCGATTTTATCCTCGGAAAAGTAATACTCCCAGTCACCCTTTCCTGCTATAACAACAAACTGCCTGCCTGGGTGGGTAAGTATGAAAGCGGCATTTTCAAAATCAGCTCCATCTTCTTTTGCCATAGGTATGAAATGGATGGCCGCTTTTAGGAATTTGATACTTGCTCGGTCGTGTTCACTGAGACGTCCTTTGTTGCGTATTTTTTCGACCTCATCTCCAAGAGGAATCGAAGTTATTTTCTTCACATGAATTCTTAGGTCTTCTGAATAATGCTAAAAATGACATTGATGTTATCAATATTAGGAGAAAGTTGATGAGAGCAAAAGGAAAAAACCAGCAACCAAATCAACCCACATGTATCGACAGAATCGGGGGTAGAACTCAGGCCGCAACTACATGTGAGGAAGCGGGCGCTCCCACTCCCCTCAGTAAGGTTCTTAGAAACTCTCCCATCCCCTTCCCCCTTCCCCCCCCCTTGGAACGCTGGAACGTTGGAACGTTTCCGACGAATATTCAAGCTAGTACGGATTACCGATCGTATAAGTATGCTGGATTGGCTTGTAACGCAGCGCCGTGGTTAACCCTTTAACTCCCGTGAGTGACCAAGACAGAATTTCCCCTTACTATATCCATACAGTATCATGCAGACAAGTGACGAGAATGTATTGAATGATTACAAATTGATTCGATACTAAATTCTCTAAACTAACATAATGAGAATCGTTTGGCAGACAGTAAGGAAAATTACTAATGAGATCTTGGGAGTTAAAGGGTGAAGGCACCGTAAGAAGGTCTAACGTTAAAATTCTGAACTAGTTCTTCAATTATTTTTTCAAGTTCCCAGCTACTTGCTCGTTTTTAAATAAAATGCGTCTTTTCCCGTGGTATTCTGTCGAGGGATTGCCGAGCTCCGCTTGGAAATCTCGATCAGTAACGAATTCAAGTTTAATTGAAGGATCTGGCATCGATCGCGCATGATGTTGAGTGCATGAACTCGGTAAAACGGAAAACTTCCCTTCACTTTCAGGAAGGTATTGACAACAGATTAATATCGAAACTCGTGTTGACCACGTCAAATTCGAAAGGGACAAATTTCTTTGAGTTTCATCGATAGATTATTTACAGGTTGATCTCCTAATCGGAGCCAAAGACGGAGTTATAGTTACTGGTAATATTCTAGCGTTGCCAATGAAATTTCCCATAATCGTGTCGAGCTAACTCATTACAAATAGCTCGGCCAAATCCTTGCGAGAATCACAATTTTGTGATGGGAGAAGCTGTCTACAGATTGTGGAGTCAAGTCAGACAACCGTAACACTACTGAGGCAGCTAGCGTTTTTGTCTCTTTTGAGGTTATCAAGGTTTTTCCCCCTCATGATTGCTTTCAATTTTGATTGGCCATGGAAAATTTTGTTTTGATGACTCATTGTCATGTGGCATTTTCAACCACGCAAAGAAGACAGAAAATGTCAAAGTTCAAGTGTAAGGGAAAATTCCCAGCATGTGATGAATTTATTTTGAAAAGAGAGATCTGCTAATGAAATATTTTCCGAGGCGTTTGGAAAGCGCATAACTTAAAATTAATTTCTGTAAGAATTCCTATGTAAAGCTTTTGGTGCAACTATCAAGAAACATAAACAGCAGCCTTCCAGTGCCTGAATCTCTCGGGTTTTTCCCTAATGCGGGTTCTCCAATGAAACAAAGGACAAAAGATGACTCATTGTCAAGGGGGTTTCCCTTCTATGCAAGGAACATATAGTATCCATCAATCCATATCGGGTTCTTTATTAGGGAAAATTCCCAGCAACGAACGAACTATAGATAAAGCGAACAATTTACTCGGCTCTATGCTTAAAAACCACTCGGCCTTGTGCGGCATGATTGTGAAATGTCTTCCACTAAATATGTAGTAAATCTGTTTCTTCCCTGAGCGAGCTGCAATAAAGCAGGACGATGGGAAATAACAATTCAAGAATGACATTGGTAAGGAAATTTTCATTTTCGTCAGACTTACAGGTTACAGACTTACGACTGACTTGACTTCAAAGGCCGTGTTTAACATAATTTTTCGGACTGCAAGAGGACACATCGTTACAGGCAAGGAGTTTTGTAGTCAAGGCTGTATGTCATTCCATTCTTTCCTAAAATAGACTAAAATCTATTTTGCTTCGATTGAGCTTAAAATGATAGACTTGACGATCAAAAGACAAACTTTATTGTAATAAGACCTTTTAAAGGCGAGATTACAGCATATAAACTGTGAACCGAAATTCTGAAAATCAGCAAAGTAAGACTTAATACATCAACACCTTTAAAAGCGAGATCACGGCATTTCACTCTGAAAATGTAAAGGCAAATTGTTAAAGTTACTGTCGCATATGACTAACACATAATCTGACGTTTTACTGATGCATGGTGAATCTACTGGTGAATCCAAGATTTGGTTTAAATTTTTTTGAGTGACCTCTGAAGATGGTTGCCAGTAAAGGAGGTAAGGGGATGGGGGGTTGCGAAACGCATTTCCCCTCCGGAAAATTTCAAAATTCCGACATTTTAAGGCAAACTGAGTGCGTTTTAATGTTCAATTATTTCTACAAGAAATGTTCTATATTTCATTAGAATGATGTCAGGTTACGTTAAAGAAGAGCGACAAGTATGTATTCATATGCTAATGAGAAATGTTTATCCGTCTATGTATGCAGCTACTTACTTAAACAGTTCAAGGATTTTCCAAGGCGTTCTTTAAATATTTACCTCCATTGACGATTGACAGTGCGTTTCCCAAGTGTTGGGGGATTTTAGAAAAATATTTGACCTCATCCCAAAGATAGTAGTGCAACGAAATGGATGGCCGTTTTCAAAAATTTGACCTCCATCTGTTCGAATTCACTGAGACTCAATCTTTTTTCCAAGAAAATATGGGCTTATTCTCTCCACTCTGATTTTTTTTCTTCCGGATACCCCTGAAATTTTAAATAATCGTGCATAAACATCGGGGCAAAGCGAAAAAAGGGCAACACACTCGACATACGTGTAATACCAAGTTCATTGTAGGAATCAAACTTGTTCGGGTCTCCAACGATCGCAAACGATCGAGATATAATCACTGCGATATCTCAGCTCTTCAATTTTAAAACACTCGCGAGAGGTCTGAGGGCCAGTATTGTTATATTTTTGATTCCTTACGCGGTTTGAATTACTACATCTTGTTAGTTTTAGAAATGCACCGAGTAGCTGCTGAGTACTCTGTTACGACCTCAACTCTTAACTTTTACCAAAATGTGCGTGTGCGAATAAGCACATGCACATGACTTCTGCTACGATCATTTTTGACTCAAGCTTGTTTTAAACATTGCATTCTGGATATGCGCCAAATGTAATTTCGACTAAAGACGGCTCTGTTGAAATGAGAAAACATTCAACCAAATCGTCTTGGCATCAAGAAAATGACTTTTGTAGGCTTACTTTTGCAAAATAAATATTGTTTTTGTTGAAGAGAACTGTCGCGATAAAGTTACAGTTAAAGCACCCGATTTTTTTCTCATTAAGTCTGTCTGTATCCAACTCCAGCTCATGAATGTGATTTGTTATATTCCGAAATCAATCTTGGCAAACGAGTGAATCGTTTCTTTCCAACCAAATGCTTCTTTATCTTCAAAAACCGAATATCTCTTACAAAATGAAATAGAAAAAGGAAGAGAAAGTACGAGGAAAGAAAGAAAGAGAAAGAGAGAAAAATAAATAAATAAACTCTCATTTTAGGCAGTGACGATTAATGAATACTGCCCTACTGCTTTCGTTTTCGTGCGTTTTCATTGCGCATGTCCTTGAATCTGCAACTGTGGATATCTGGGTAAGTGTGGTAACAAATGAATCATGCATTAATTCTGGTCAAGACTGGAGTCGCATTCGATTAAAACTTTCCAAATTTAAAACTGAATAGAGCTCGCATTTTACATGGACATTACGTAAATTCGACTCGTATTAAATCTAACAGACGGACTTAGGCGCCGTCCACACGTATCCGGAAATTTTTCGATCCGCAATTTTCTCGCTGTGGTTTGACCTTTCGTCCACATGTATTCCATGAATACGGCTAATGAATCCGCAACTTTTTCGAAAACGGTTCCTAGAGTCAAGAATCAAAAAGTAACTTGAAACTCACCTCTAAAATGTTGCTCTCAAATTTGGGCGTAACCTAAGGATACTCTTGGGTAAAACGGAACTCAATAGGCCTGTGAAACGTTGTCGAGTGACAGGTCATGTGTTCAAAAAATTGATAGACGTTCGATGAATTTGAATTGATTTGAGTTATCCATGAAATGGTTGACCTTTTTGCGCTTAATGTGTGTACCAAACCTATGTTTTGCTCAAAACTTGAATGACATCGTTGTCAAACTTACGACTAATATAATCCAAGAGGTGGTGTTTTACATACGGTTATCACTACACAAGAATGTATATCATTTTAGTCGAGGAAATTTGAAGCTTGAGCCGCACATCCCAGCTTCACTCTTAGGATAAGCTTAAATATATTTTGCCTCGATTGGGCTGGAAATGTTTCTTCTTTCATGTTCACATTTTGCACTTGTTTATACGAAATCGATCTCGCCAGAAGGACCACCTGCCTTAGAGAAACTTTGGGAAGACGTAAAAACCAACAATTTAAGGGTTTGTTACGTGACCCAAGCACTAAGCAAACAGCTTAATAATAGATCTCAACATCATTTCAAAGTGCTCACACTTTGAGCTTGAGTTTGGAGCGATTTTTAAATATTAATGAGAGCAAGCATATTAGAACAAACAGAAAGCTGAGGGAAAAAATGGCGTGAGAATTTCCTGAGAATCTTGCTGGCTGCTAAAAGCATTTTTATTCGCTTTTTACTTTCTAGGATTACCCAAGCAACATGATCTTTAGAGTTGATAAAATATCATCTATAGTTCTCGGAAAAGAGATCGTAAAGCGATGCGGAACCGAAGGTCAGCATGGAAATCTCAGTGAAGATGACCAGACAACCTTAAAATTTCTGCGAGCTGCCATCTCATTCATTTCGAACGCAAATAAAATGTGCGCTGATCTAACAAACGCTGCCTTCATTATATCGCAGCCAGGGAAAGAGTTTATCATTCAAGCTGGAAATGGAGATTGGGAGTTTTTCTTTTCAGAGGACGCAAAAGATGTTGTACATGGCCGCTGTGTTCGCAAGGGTCCTAAACGGTTTTCAAGGGGTATTTGGAAATTATTTTACTTCTGTCTAAGAATTTTCTGGGTGGTTTCATGGTGGTGCCCGTCACCAAAAACCGCCGTTCGTTTTACCAATGGTCCGTTAGCGCTGACCTATGAGGCTCAGGAACCCACGTTCAAGGTTACACTTCCGGAGGTGACGGAAGAAGAAGCTCGTAAAAATCACTCATAACTGATGCCTCGAATCTTACAATAAGTGCCAAATAAAGACGTCTCTATTTACGTTTAAAGGGATATTTACTCCAGATACTAAGTAGAGGGGGGCATTGGGGTCTATTAGAACTCGCAAGGCCGTAGAAAAAAATCATCCAAAACCGCAAAACCGCAAAAAATTGGTTCACAACCGAAAACTGCATGCACAACCATCAGAACCGATAAATTTTCACATTCCTGTGACAAGTGAAGCATGCAGAGGTTTCGCGGCTATTCAAAATCATAGTTGCCACTCAGATCGAAGAGGAACCAGAACCAAAGTAGGAAAAATCGAAAATCACATCGGATACCAAATCCGAAAACCCATTGGCGATTTTTGGGAATACCGATAACAAATGCTTTAAAACGGTATATCCCCAAACCGCAATGAACACCAAAACCGATCTTAATAATAACCAAAACCGCAAAACCGAAAATTCAAATGACCCCTCTCTCTTTATTCAATTTTCAAAGAGCAACCCATAAAGAGTTAAAAGATTATCCTCAAATATGCCAACATTTGACGCCGCCATTTAAAAAAAATAATAATAACCTGACCATATTCGCTTTCGTAAGCAGCTGATGTTTTGTTTGATTTAAAAAACTAGTTATTGAGTCAAGAATAATTTTATGTGTAGCTCCTAGTTATTCAAACAGATCGTCGGGAGGATTGATAAAGAGGGGTGAGGTTTTTTCCACGTTACAGGTAAATGGCAAGGTAGCTAAACAAGATTCAAAATGGCGACTTTGGGGTCAAATATATATATATATATATATATATATATATATTTATATAATAAGCTCAGTTTTGCAGGCATTCTGATTGGTTCTCACTTATGATCTATTGGAGGACAGACGTATAGATGACGTCATCATTAAAAGTTTCTTTCCGTATATTTTAACTCTTTATTATATAAAACAAATAGATTCCAAGTTGCCGTGTCACATCAGTGACACACTCGGCTGGGCCTCGTGTGCCACTTTTTTGTTCTTACCACATTTTGACGTTATCTTTGATCTATTACTGAACAAACGCACGGCAACTTGGAATCTATTTGTTAAATATAAAGAAAATTTTCTTCAGACTTTCATAACGCGGAAATCAGTTAAAAAAAATCCTTTTTCAGTGACTAAGATACATGAAAATACCGTTTTTTTATAAACAGATTCCATTTCTCTGCCTGTTTGTCCAGACATCACGCACTTAAGGCGTCAGATCGTAAGTTTGAAACTAGAACCACTACTTGGAACTTACCGGGGCCCAGTGGGACACGGGATTGCATAAATATAGTTAATCTCTCGCACCGCTCCCCCCTCTTCTGTGGAGCTAATACTGACGTAATTCACAATCAGAGAAAAAAAACTCTTAAAGTCGCTTCAGTGTTATTATTCCTCCATATTTTAAGTACCAAATCGTGGCTCGAATGCTGCTTTAGCCTGTTAAATTCGCGAATGTGACCGGGCATTGTACGTGGTGAGGCAAAAATTAAGAAAACTTTCGCATATTTACATTTTCGCTAATAATTTTTAAGACGCAAACATAGAGTTTTTTCCAGCAAAAAGTTTGAACACCTGCTTAGATGTAAGTAATTTTAATAGTCATTGTGTCAATCAACTTATAATAATTTTAGAATTTTCTTTGAAGTATGCATTCTCGTTATAACATTAACAAACCTTTTTAAAAGGAAGGGCGTCCACGTCCACTGTAGGCCCGCTCATGGCTGACGAGGCCAATCCGGGACAGGTAGGTTCGAGTGTAGTAGCAGCATTTGAGGTTCTGATCAGGGTTTTGGTTCTCTGAGGCAGCAGCAGCTCTGGTATTTCTCCGCTGACGTTTTTCTTTGAGGGCTTCATGGCGTATGGTTTCAAAGTTTTTTTACAGCTGTGTGGACTGTGTGGCGCCAGCCGTCCCGCTCGACAGTGATAATTGTCAACTGATGGGGGTCGATGTTGCAGGACTTGAGTGAATTCTTGAGGCAGTCCTTGTATCTATTCTTTGGTGCCCCTCTGTCTCGATAGCCAGTTGACGGTGCGTCACACATGAAGATCTTGGGAAGGCGATGTTCTTCCATCCGGGTCACACGCCCAGCCTGGAGCTGGTATTTTGACAGTATGGCTTCAATGCTGGAAACTTCAGCCTGTTCGAGGACCTCGACATTGGTGACAAAGTCGCTCCAGTGGATGTTGAGGATGGTATGAAGGCAATGCTGATGGAAACGCTCGAGGAGTTTGATGTGGCTGCGGCATGTGATCCAGGCCTCGGAGCCGTAGAGCAAAGTAGAGAGTACAGAAGCTCTGTAAACACTGATCTTGGTCTTGCATTTCAAGCTCTTATTGTTCCACACACACTTGTAGAGTCTACCGAAGGCGCTGTTAGCCTTTGCCAGTCTGTTGTCAATTTCCTTGTCGATCTTAGCGTCGGATAAGATAGTGCAGCCCACTTAGGTGAATTGCTGAACTGATTTCAGCTCTGTTTCGCCGATGGTTTTGGTGGGCGGGTAGTATTCCTCCTGGAGCGCGGGCTGGTGAAGGACCTCTGTCTTCTTGAGGCTGACCTCGAGGCCAAAGAACTGAACAGTGCCTGCAAAACAGGTTGTGATTCCCTGTGTAGCTCCTTCTGCGTGGGTAACGAGGGCAGCGTTGTATGCGAAGAGGAGCTCCCGCACCAGCCTTTCCTGGGTCTTAGTATGGGCCTGCAAGCGCTGTAGATTGTACAGGCTACCTTCCAGGTGGTACCTGGCGTAGACGCCATCCTCATCATCTAGGTCTACAGTGGCTTGCTTAAGCATCATGCTGAAAAGGATGCTGAAGAAGGTTTGTGCCAGGACACAACCCTGCTTCACGCCATTAACGATGGGGAAGGGATCTGACGGGTCTCCGTTGAGTCTGATTTGGCCGTGTTGGTCTTCGTGCATTGGATCACCATGTTGAGGAATTTTCCAAGACAGCCGAGACGCTCAAGAAGCTACCACAGACCTTACCTGCTGAAAGTGTAGAAGGCTTTTGTTAGGTCGACAAATGTTGCATACAGACCCTTGTTTTGTTCACGGCATTTCTCCTGGAGTTGACGGAGAACGAAAACCATGTCCGTTGTGCCTCTGTTGGCTCTGAAGCCACAATGACTTTCGGAAGATGTTCTTCGGCGATGGATGGCACAAGCCTGTTGAGCAGTATCCTGGCAAGGACTTTACGGGCGAAGGCCAAAAGGGTGATCCCCCGATAGTTGGAAAAGTCAAATTGTTCTCCCTAGTTCTTGTACAGGGTGATGATGACTGCGTCTCGAAGATCTTGTGGTAGCTTGCCCTGTTCCCAGCAGCAGACGAGGAGTTCATGGAGCTTGCGGTGTAGTGTAGAACCTCGATGCTTCCAGATCTCAGCTGGAATTCCATCGAATCCCGCTGCTTTTCAATTTTGAGCGGGTCTATGGCTTTAACAGTCTCCTCGATAATAGGTGGTTCATCAAGCTCCTCTCTGATTGGTAGTTGAGGGATGCAGAGGATTGCTGGGTCTTGAACATGGCAGTTTGCAACGGAGATGGTCTGGAAGTGCTAGGACCAACAGCTGAGCATGTATATCTTACAAACCTTCACAGATAGAAAAATAAAGACGTCTTTTGACATAATTTTCAGCGTGATAGAAAAAAGCGGTTTGCGATGACGAAGTTATTGACCTATGGCACAAGGTAGAATAAAAATCATTACCCTTTTCGACAACGTGATGGCTGTGTTGGCGAAGTAACTATAAAACCACTGAAGGAAGTAAAGCCTGCATTTAAAAGTGGACATTTCATTTAAAAAGGACCTACCAAACTTAATCTCCTGAATGTCGGAGTTTGTACATTACAATGAGGCGGAAATGCTAAAGGAATGGTTCATTACATACAAAAAAAATGCAAACTATATTGACGAGGTCAGGTCTTTTCAAACAAACTTTCTCCTCGCACAGTTCACAGCTGCCTCTGGATATTTTAAAACCCTATCACTTATGGCAACAATCAATTTACTGCCGACTTTTTCGCGCTCCTCCTCCTAAATCACGCCTGTGTAAGAAATTTAGAGTACTTTGCTACTTCGTTATTGAACAAAAATCGATTTCCAGGGGCAAGAGAGGTATCTAGGGAACAAATTAAGCCTGTACTAAGCGGCACCGTATTACTTGGTCGCTCTGTTTTTTAGCGGTCGGTTGTCAAAGTACCGAAATTTCCACAAGGCCTATATTTAGTGTTCATCTATATTAAGCAGACGTGGTCGATCACTCCTTAGTGAGTCCCTCCACCTGCTTGTACTGAACGCTCATTCAAAGCAGAACCACTGAAATATAATTAAGGAACTAAAAATTAATAATTATGGCACTCTCAAATTATAATCGAACAAAGGCAAAGAGCGTATAATTATTGTCTGCACACCTATTGAGAGCAATTCCAGAGGAACTATTTGTAGAAGATAAACATGATTGTGCTGAGCTGATTTCGTGGAAGGGGTTTCCCCTCATAACCATTGAAAGCAAGGGTGACATTCGCTTGCTAATCAAATAACTAAAATTCCACAGCCAAAGACAACTGGCCCTCAATTGTCTTTGATAATTGGCGCTGAATAAGATGCCGATTAATACAGGTTCATACACAGGCCTAATTTGTTCCCTTAAAACCCAACTATCTCTCTCACTTTGGAAGTATCCTATTCTCTATTTTCTTGATCATCTGTGAACACACATTCAACTAATTTACATAGATTTTTGATGGACCGATTTCGTAAAAGGGGGAGGCATTCTTCGAATTTCGAGGTAAGGTCACGCCGCCCAGCTCTTGGTTACTGACCATCAGGATGATGATAGCAATATAATGCTTCCTTTTGGATCACATACAATGACATTCCATTTATTTTCTTTTTAAGGATTACCCAAGAAACATGATCTTTTTTTGCAATTTTTGCAAGTCTCCATCTCGTATATCTCAGAGGCAATCAACATGGGAGCAGATCT